CGGGCACCTATGGATGAGGACAGTGGGTGGGGAGTGAGGGCGGGGGTGGGGCGGGAACTGGGAGGAGGGGAGTTATGGGGGAAAAAAGAGGAACAAATGTAATAATCTGAACAATAAAGATTTAAATTTAAAAAAAAAAAAAGATTACTACAGCTATTCGGGGTCTTTTTTTTTTATTCCAGATGAATTTTTGGAGAGTTCATTCTAGGTCTGTGAAATATGCCATTGGTTTTTAATGGGGAGTGTGTTGAATCTGTAGATTGCTTTGGGTAGTATGGACATTTTAATGATGTTGATTCTACCAATCCATGAACACGGTATGTTCTTCCATCTATTTATGTCTTCCTCTATCCCTTTTTTCAATGTCCTATAGTTTTCCAAGTAAAAAGTGATATTCTTTATTAGTAATTTATTCTCCCTATAGTTCTTATGTTTTTTTTAAATTCTCTATTTTAAAGGGTTTCGTGCGAATCTCATCTTCTGAGATAGCAATTTTGAAAGTATATTGTTAAGTTAATGTATTCCAGAAGTCTCAGTGATTTACACATGTAGGTTGTGGTTAATTTCCCACATCTTTATTCTCCAAAGTACATCTTTTACCATTTATTCTCTAATATTTGTCTTATTTTGATATGTGGCATATGATATGAGTTAGTAGAGAAATTACTTTAAACTTAGAGAAGCTAGTAAATGAGGACAGATTTCTTTGAAATCACACTGAATTTACAAATATAAAATGTCTAGAAATTAAAAGCCTTTGGTTTTAGATAGCCAGTGTCAAATTGGTTTCTTGCCTCAGGCATCACGAAATTGCTTATTAAACAACATGGCTTAGGGTTTCAGACAATTGTTTTCACCTCAGAATATGTTTACTATGACCATTCTTAAAATATCGATCCAGGGTTAAATGAATGGTTTTTATTTTTAAAGACTGAGTCCTGTATAGCTTGATTCCTGATCACACCATATGTATAGGATAATACACAGAGCCTATGTGGATCCCCAATCATATTTTTCTCAGTCATTTTGGAGAAGAGTTCAGTGGTGAGGAGCAGAGGAAAAACTTATTGCCTCTCTTTAAGCTTTTCATAATATAATATATACTACATTGTTTTCAATTTGGGCAGAAGCAGGTGGGCTAAGAAATGGTGGAAGGAGTTTGACCAAAATTTTAATTATTTAGAACATGTTATTTTCAGGTCAGAGTTAATTATTATTTTTAAAGTAAGGTTAATTTACAGTTGGCAGTGGGGGAAATATAAGATGTGACTTAAATGAGAAGTTTATTTGAATATTGGATCAAATTAAAGGTGAATTAGATTTATAGAAAGTGGAATCAAATGATTCAACATAAAAAATGGATTTGTGTTCAAGTAAATTTGACTGTGATCTGTTTTCTTCTTCTTATTTTTATTTTTTTTTTTTGGATGGAAAACAGCATGAAAACAAAACAAGAACAGGAAAATATGGGGTCAGAAACTCATTATAAAATTAGATTGCCCAATTTTATTGACTCTTACCTGTTTTCTGGGTTCATTGTAGATCTCTCTCTCTCTCTCTCTCTTTTTTAGTTTCAAAAATCCTACCCTGAAGTCTACCAAGAACGATTTCCCACACCAGAAAGTGAAGCACTTCTGTTTCCCGAAAAACCAAAACCAAAACCACAGATGCTAATGTGGGCACTAAAAAACCCTTTCCAACCATTTCAAAGAACTAGAAGTTTTCGGATGTAATACTTTCACAGCCAGTGGAGATCTCAGACGTTGTTTTGAATAAATGGGTGGAAGAAAGAGGAGCAGAAAATACAGACTACTGAAATATAAATATGATCTGACTTCAAAACATGTTGAGTTGCCCAGCTGGCATGGCTCAGTGGTTGAGCATCGACCTATGAACCAGGAGGTCATGGTTCAATCCCCGGTCAGGGCATATGCTTGGCTTGCCAGCTTAGTCCCCAGTGTGGGGGCGTGTAGGAGGCAGCCGATCAATGATTCTCTCTCATCATGAGTTTTTCTCTCTCTCTCTCCCTCTCCATTCTTCTCTGAAATCAATAAAAAGACATTAAAAAGACACACACAAAAAACCATGTTGAGCCATTATCAGTATTTTTCTAAAACTCATTGCTAGATTTAAAGTATACAAATCAGTTATAAACATTATGAAATATATAATAATGTTAACATATTTGTAATCATTAGAAAATTCAAGGCTATTTTTACTTGTTTTTCGTGGTGTTTGTGAAATAATTGTGTGTACATCCTATTTACTGATGTCTTTGTTATAATCAAGCCTTAGAAATAGTGTATATACTTGAATAAGAAGACACTGGGTACCATTACTGTGATGCTATTGACTTAATAGCCAATTATGATATTTCCTGTGTAAATTCTGATTTTCACTGTTACACAAAGAGTCTTAAATGTCCTGTGTTATGATATCTGTATCATATTTTATTGAAGGTTTGTTGGCTGCTATGACAGATTTTACTAAAGCTGGTTCTTTTATAACATATATATTAGTTGGTGTTTACTTGGAAGTGGAGTAGATTTTCATCTGACTGCAGTGGTATAATTTCAGTCATGGCTAGAGATGGAAAACTGAACAGGATAAATGCTTTCATTCCCTTTAGACATGTGATTGTATGTCAAATCTTTGTTGTTTCATGAAAAACACAAATGGGTTAAGTAAAATGAAACTACCTTCTTTATAAATATGTTTCCCCTAGCTTCTTCATTCTTTTGAAAGTAAATAGAATATAAATAAATACTGTTTGGTTTTTTAAAAATACTGTACATGGTGTTTTATGGGGTTTTTTGGCATTTATTTAAGTACTAGGGGCCCGGTGCACGAAATTCGTGCACTGGGTGTGTGTGGGGGGGGGGCGGGGGAGTGTGTCCCTCAGCCCAGCCTGCCCCCTCTCACATACTGGGAGCCCTCAGGT